TGAAGTACGACTGCAACGTGACAAAGTGTAATAACAGAGGACTGTGTAACAATCGCAAGAACTGTCACTGTAAGTATGGCTGGGCTCCTCCATATTGTGAATCGGAAGGATATGGAGGTAGCATTGACAGTGGACCCCCTCCAGCCAGGAAGATTTCTCAGAGAACAAAAGTAAGAATAGCACAATTTGTTTTTTTTACTATGTGTATCGTTGGAGTAACCCTTTCCATCCGTTATAGACATGAAGTAGAGGGATGGCTTATGAAGAGAAAGGCCCAGTTCCAAAGAATACTGCAGTTGTTTCAAAGACTGAAAAAAACAGAAGTTCCTAAAGAAAACTCACCTGCCAGTGAATCAAAATCCACCACAGATCAAAAAGCATAGCTTTGGATGCTCTTGAGGAAATCACCCTTTAGCAGAGCCATCTGATAACTCATCAAAATAATTCAATGGATTCTGAACAGCTCTGATCTCAGGTGATATCATTAAATGCAGAGTAAATGTTATCTCTGAATATTTTCTTATAAGTTAATAACTGCAGGCAGTAAGGCATGAATTACTTTGTACCCCGAGCTCTTAAACTGATATAATTAAGTAAACTTCAGGTATTGTGATTATGCTTCATATCAGCAGTTTTAAAATGCAAACTTCTTAAAACAGGTGTAGATAAATTACTTACTTCAATTTCCCCCTTCACCTAATGTTTTCTTCAATTCAGTGAGAGATGTTTGTGAACATCTTCTGTCATTCATTAAGAACCGAAGAGAAAAAATTGCACTTGCAGTCTCCACTGGGTTCCTTCCAGACAAACCATTCTGTATCTCTGTGATTTAATTCACATCTGTGACACACAAACAGGCAAGGAACAGGTTTTGCAGTGAGATACAGGTGTCCGTTTCACAAGTGCTTCCAGCTGTTTATGGGGAGCAGCCCTTCAGGAGGAAGGTAGACCATAGGGAACATGTTCTTCCTTTTGTGAAAGAGTAGAGAAGGATTGTCCAGATCACAATCAGTAAGCACTGCATTTCTGAACCGTAATATTTATGTCAGCAGTGTAGTGACACCGAATCTAGCACTTCACAAGAAAAAATTGTTTTTATTTCCTGGGAATTTTCCAGTGTCTTGACTGGTGGTTGCTTCTGAGAAGTGCTGTGTATTTTATTGTCGCCAAGAGAAGCTGTCTGTGGGGGTTCCCCAAGATAACTAATCTAAAGTATTTGGAACTATTCTGCAAGTCTCCCCTACCTGAAATTCCTGCAATATTTGATAGATACTTTATCTGACTATCTCAGGGGGTTTCTCTTGGCTTAATCTGTGATTCTTTCTTTAGCTATAACTGAATGTGTCCTTGCAGCTCTATGGAGTGCCACACAGAAGCATTGTAATTTTAATATTTTTTAACAAATCATAAAATATATCTAGCTTCTGAAAAATATTAGGGACATGGAAATAGCATTCAATAAGTTTTATTGTTATTATTTATATTACAGCAGTAACCAGACCGTTCTATCAGATCAGCATGAAAAGGAGTCTAGTCCAGATCACAGTGAAAACCGTTTTTTAAAGGTGTTTCAGGATAAAGGGCTATAATGCACTTGTCTGCTAACAAAAGAATTATTTGTATTTAGAGAGAAAAGAGCACACTTTCAGCAAACATTCTGTAAAGGCAGAATAAGTACCCCAACACTTGGGAACATTTGGGAAGAAAGATGCTGGTGACTACAAATTATGATGGTCAACTCTTGCTGCCTCCCAAATATATAATTTATGTTTCTAGAATATGCATTTTCCTGTAATTTTTTTATGTGTATTTTTTTTTGGTATCCTGTATCCAAAAAGAGCCAATTACGTTACAATGGGATGTGAAATACAAAGCATGTGATTCACAGTTTTTCACAGCTTTCTGTCTAGAGCACATGAGTCCTTAAATAGTTATCTATGCTGTCTGCAGAAATGAGGCAATATGTTGTTTGTTTAGGCTGTGCTTATTGTCATGATAGAACATGTAAGGTTTTGGTTAGATGTTGAAAACTTAATCCTGAATTTATGTCAAAAGGCAAGATAACTGCACCTTGACTAACACCACAGATTTTTTCCTCATAACCAGAGACCTTCTTTGGGGGGGTTCGGGGGGTGGGAAGGCTGTCCTCTGAGAAGTAACAATTATAATTCAGGTGTTGCAATCAAGGGATAGGAGACAGACAAGGGAGATGTGGATTAATTGAAAGACGGAGATAAAAAAAGCACTACATCCGGCACCTTCCAACTATCTATGCACAACTAGTACCTACATTTTTATTTTGCTTTTTTAATCCAAAAAGTGCCAGAAGTTTCAGGTTGCCATCTTGATGGCCTGCCATTGTTGATCAATAGTATACTATAAATTGCCAAGTACAGATCTGAGCTGAGACAGAGAAACACCAGAGTCAGGGGGTTCTTGTTTACAGACCTGCATACTGAAGAGGCAGAAGTGTAAATGAAAGCACAGCTTAGGCTAGAAAGCTTACTTGCAAATGCAGTTTTGGGAAAGATAAAGTAATAAAATGCTGTAGTTTTAAAGATTGATCTGAAGTACCAGGACTTAATTGGGAGGAGGCTTTCAGTGAGCTTTGGATGGGAGTATTTCTGTGTATTTGTCTCCCATTTCTTCTTGGACCATATAAGCAAGACAAACATGCATCTCAACAAACCTAGTCAATGTTTTATAAAATGTGTGAGCTCCCTTTCTGAGGTTTTCTCCTTGAAAATATTGTTGTTTCTGATTTCAACACAGCAATGAAAAACTTGATGTTTCTCATGGTTTGTTAGAAATGTCCCGCTACTCTGCAGGTGCTATGGAGGTGCAAGTCTGAGTTCAGTCCTAATCTTTCTGATTTCCCTTTTTCCCCCTCCTGGTTCTAACAGCATTTTAAAATCCTTTAAATGGATGAGAGAACTTGGTTAATATGTAAATCACTCATAGATGAAGAGGCAATTTGCAAATGTTGCTGCACTGTATTCCAAGAGATGTGGGTTACTGTAGTACGTGAAATGGTGCGGGAGGAAATAGGAAGGCATAACCTGGACTAGTGGAATGCCACCACAGGGTGGGGTGGAACTAGATGATCTTAGAGGTCCCTTCCAAACCAAACCATTTTCTGATTCTGTGAAATGGTCTGTGCCAGTGCAGTAAGGGTATTAAGTCTTAGGTAGCAGTTAATATGTGGCAGGCCAGTCTTGATAGGTGAAGCCTGGAGCTGCCTAGGACTAAGTTACAATATACCCACATTTCTTGTTTGAAATCTCTTCCTGGCTAAAGAAAACTTTTAAAAGCACTTAATATTGCAGTTATCTCAAATCAAGATAAAATTGGTTTTGTTCTAAGCCAAGACTGTCATCTCTAAGATACATTAAATTGCTCCTAAGGAACGCCGTGTATCTTGAAGGAGTTTGCAAAGTACCTTGCCGCTGCTTGCTCACTTTCCTCCCACCCCTCCCAGTGGGAAGGAGATTCAGAAAGAAAAGGTAAACCTTGTGGGTTAAAACCATTTTAATAATTGAAACAACTAAAAATAATAACAACAACAACAATAATAATAATCACTGAGAGTAGAGAGTAACAGAACCCAAGAGAAACAAGTGATGCGCAGTACAATTGCTCACCACATGTGGCCTGATATCCAGCCTGTCCCAGAATGTGTTTGTCCCCCTTACAGATAACTTCCCCAGCTTATATACTGGACATGACATTCTGTGGTATGGAATATACCTTTGTCCAGTTTAGGTCACCTGTCCTGGCCATGCTCCCTCCCAGCTTTTGTGCATCTCCCCTCTGGCAAAGTATGAGACACTGAAAAGTCCTCAGCTTGGGGTGAATGCTACTTAGCAACAACAAAAAATGTCTATCACACAACTCATGGTTTTGCTCATCATTGCAAGTGTAATTGGACCTTGAATGCTTGTCTCCCACCTCTGAGGCAGGTGTTCTAACACTCAATTTAGCACTAAGCATTAATGTTGTAGCAGAGATCCAATGCCCAGGTTGTCTCTTGCTATCAAATTCAGGAATCCAAAAGTGCAGATAATCTTGGAATGAATGCAGTCAAAAACATCTGTTATCTTTACTGCAATACCAAACAAACAAAATGGCAGTGTGACAGTGAAGACTAGATAAGCTGATCCTCATTCACATCAGAGAAGTTCCTGCAGCATGTAGATGTGGCTGTCCTCATAGTGCCAAGCAGTCAGGTGGTTTGACTGAATCAGGCTTCTTCATTGTTCCCTTTTGTCATTTCTATATTGATGTACTTGTAGCATGTGCTGAAATGGATAAGGATAAATTTCTCCTTGCTATTTCCCAATAATATATTGGTTCGATAAACCCTGAGGTATGGAGTCCCATGTTCAAGTGGCTCTTCTGTTACATGGCAAGTTGAACTACTTTGCCCTTTATTGCTAAGTAATTGTAGAGTTCTGAGGAAATTTCTCAGATCCTCAAACCAAACACCTTCTTAAGGTCTTAGGACCTAGTTAAGCATTTCTTGCCCCAGCAGCAGCACGGTGGTTCTGTGCACCGTTTGTGTTTCTGAACCCAGATCACCCTATTGCACCGCAGGATAACTCGGCGTTGGCATGGATGCTGTCTCTGCTACCTGCCTGTATTGGGTTTTTGCTCCTGCCTAGCACGGTCTAATCTGTTTTTCAGTTTGCTATGAGGACAGTTAAAAGCGCTGGGAACAGGTCATACATAGATCTCCCTTCTCTCCCACACCTACCCCAGACAACTATGGCCTACTCCTTAACTCTCCTAAGAAACCAGCTCCAGCCTGGGCAGCAAGGCAGGGCCAGGCACAGATGCCGCGCAGGGGCCGGGGGGAGGTGCAGGGGCCAGGAGGACGCTGTGCCGGCTTCCCCTGGGGCCGCTGTTCTTCCGCCTCTGCGGTGAGCGCCGGCGGCGGCTCCGGGCGCCGGTGGGAGCAGCCCCGTCCCGCGGGGACTACAACTCCCAGCGCTCCGCGGCGCGGCCCGGCGGCGGCCGAGGAGGCGAGAGCGGCTGCCCCGGGAGCCGAGTTCTCCTTCAGGCCGCAGCATGAACGGCAGCGTGGCGGGCAGCGGCTTCGTCGAGGAGATCATCAGCCTCACCCGCAGACCCTCAGGTAAGGCGGGGTCGGGCTCTCTACGCCTGGTCCGCGGCGGCTCCCGGGCAGGGGCAGCCGCGCCGAGGCCTGCGCAGCCCCGGGGAGGCCGCAGCGGAAGCGCGGGGTGGCAGCGGCCGTGGCGGGCAGCGGGGCGGCGGAGGGAGGGTCCCGGCAGCGAGGATAGAAACGCGGCGGCCAGAGGTGTCGGGCCCAGGGGCCTCCCCCTGGAAACAGCCGTGGCGGATACGCTGCTGCGGGAAAAGCTCGTGGCCTGCGTGAGGGAAAGCTGGCTCGGTCAGGGTCCGTACTGTGCGGGAGCTCCGGTAGAGGCTGGTGTCCCCGCGGACAGCTCGCCTCTGGTTTACCCTGGAAGTTGTCATCTCCGGTGGAGCTGTCGCTTCCAAGTGAGGCGGCAGCCCCTGAGCGCCCAGCCGCGTTGGATACCCTGTGTAAGGGACCATTTGAAAATCATGTGCCCGGGTTCTGTCCCCAGTACTGTCAGCTTGGCGTTCACTCTGCAGCGTACCTTGAGAGGCTTTGGGGTGGTGAGAGCGAGGAGCAGAGGATGGAAGAGGGAATAGGGCACTTCTTGGAGCATTTTTAGGCTTTGCTTATCATGTTTCAGCCGCAGGTGTGCTCATGGAAACCTTGCATTTTTACAGGATTTATGGTGCCATTAAATCACACATTTAGAATTGAGGCAAGTTGGCACAAAATTTAGAGCTCTGGAGCAAAATCCTGGCTATTGAGAATGGCAGGCTCCAGGAGAGCTTTGGGATCTAGAGTTGTACTTTGGTGTATGAGGCTTTCTCTATAATCAAAAGGAGCAGGAACAAAAATGTGGCAGCCCTTCGGTTCCGCACAACTGCTGGGTGCTGCAGCCTTGTCTCCAGGGGCTCCCCACAAATCCCAGCACCCACCGTGTTTCCCTTCTCTGGGGTGGAGGTAGGTCCCATGCAAGGCTGGTGTTGGTCCTGGCCCTCATGTTGGTGGTCAGAACCCAAAGGGTGTCAGCCCAGGGAGCAGCCCTTTGCCTCCCCTGCTTGCTAGATCATGCCAGATTGGCCTGTGGTCTGAAAGCTGTGTAGCCCTGCCTGCATAGCCATGAGCTTAAGCTAATGAAGCTGTGCTTGTCAGGGAAAACTCTGCCAAATCAGGCTGGTTCTTATGGGAAGGCTGTTTCCATATATCTGGGGAGCTAAAATTTAAGCAAGAAGTAAGGGAATGTTAAAGGGCAGAGTTGAGAATGGTCTTGAATGTGACCACTGTGATTTCAGTTTCGATTACCATGAGGAGCATATGTCCAGCCATTGAGATGGGCTGTGCATCTTTAGATTTAGGATTTTTACTATGTTACTTGATTTGAAGGTCCTACAGCCCCTTACGGCCTTGATGCACTTACCATGTGAATTATTACTCATTTCTATGGAAGGAACAAAACACTTATCTGTGATGTACTGTAATCTCTTGTAGTTTTGACTGCAACTTTAAAAATAGGTCTGATGCTAAACATCTCTGGCAAAAGTTTGCATTGGTTGTGAATGTATTCCCAGTGGCAGGACAGTGTATATTTATCTCTTCAAATTCTGTTGTGTTTAGTCTCTCATTTCCTAATCCTGCCAGTCCTGGTTTTTGTTTTTTTTTTTTAAGGCGTTTTTGAGGGACTTTTTAGTTCAGAAAGGGTAAGTGAGGGAGGTCTGCAGCCTGAGGGGGGTCTGAAGTTTAGCCCAGAGCCTGCTTTTTAAAGCTCTGGTGTTCTGCTTCTGGTCCCTCGTAGACAAGAGATTTAGTGCTATGTGCTGTCTCCCCTTGCTCCTTTTCTTCCAGCTGTGCTGTGTCTCTTTCTGTGGCTGCATGAACTGGAAGGGAGAGAATAGCAAAGAGCTTGAGGTTTGATAGGGAAGATATTTTTAGGCAGAGTGGAAATCTGAGTGCTGGAAAGGAAAGACAGTGAAAAAGCACTCTGAATACTTAACTTGGTCTAGCACAAGCTGCAGCCTCTTTGTCACGAAGATCTGCCTCTGCTGATGAAAGCTGTGACTCTTGATTATTCTTCCAGTTGTGGGTAAAATGTTGCAAAATACATATATTTTTATCTATCTATCTGTCTGTCTATCTATCCATCTATCTATGTATCTATCTATTTTAGGGGTTTTATATATGAGAGAGAATCAGTGTATTCTGAGATCCTGTTTCCTTCTTTCTGGCTTTTTAATAAGTGTTGATTAAACCTTTTACTTTCTGTAGTATTGATTTCCCCCTTTCCTAAGTTATAGACTTTATGGCAAATAATTTTTAGGAGTGTGGACTTTTAATTACTTTTCATTTTCTGTTGAAGGGTGTATTACTGTACACAACTGTCCCTTTTTGGAATAGATATTATTCTAGTTGATATGTCAGTATTTCTTCAATTTTCTCTCATTTTTTTTCCTCACTTGTCTGAAGCTGCCAGGAAGGAAAGGAAAAAAAAGATGTGGCAAAATTGCTGCTAATATTTCTTTACTTCCCAGCTGTAGATGCACACTTAAAATACCATGACTCATTTTGTAAATGCTTTGATCTCCTGTGACTAATTTAAAATGCTGCTTCCCAGCAGGAATAAGGTGGTTTTACTTTCATTTGAAACTCTCCTTCCCAAGGTTTCCAGTCCCAACTTTAAGAGAAAATAAGAAAGAAAACGAAAACAAATAAATCAGTCTGGCTGAACGTGGGCAGAACTTGCCCTCAGCTGTTCTTGACAATAACTTTTGGATGACTGGTTTATGTCAGAACAAAAAAGTTGGTTTTTTTTTTTCCATTTACTTTGATTGTATATTTGATTTAATTTTTCTTTTTCCTTGGCTCTTCTTTCTTTTTCATTGTAGGCCTCTTAGGGAATCTTTCCTGTCCCTTGTCACGCATTTTTATTTGGAGAGAAACTTAGCTGCATGTACAGTGGGGAATGTGCTCTTGTAATCTCTGGGTTTCTGGACTTTAGATTCAATTTATTCTTCTGGGTTTCAATGAAACAAGAAGTGTTAACTTTAATCCAGAAGCTGGATCCAGCTAGATATCTGTAACTGAGGCTTCCTTTAAAGAATAATACAAAATGGCAAAAACATAAAGTTGACATCAGTTCTAATAAATATGTGTATTCCTTTCTGTTTTGCACTAAATCTGCAAACTTTTTCTTTATTTCCTGTCATGTTTGAATTAATGAAACAGAACAAAGTGGTTGTGTACAATTTGAAGTAGCTTTGTGTAGCCTAATCGTATTCTTGGAGGCAAAGCACACTACACATCCAGCTCCTGAGAAGTGGAAGGGGAGCCCTCTGAGCTCTAGGTGCCCTCAAGCTGGTAGCACAGTTCTCCTTGCCTGTTTCCTCATCTGTAGACAGGGTCTAATGCTCCTTGCCTTTCCTTACCCTGTTTCCCAGCTCACAAAACACTTGTCAGAGGTGATTTCTTGTAGCTCAAAGGTAGTGATTTACTATAACCTCATGTGAAATGCAGAATACTTTAACTTGCTTTCATATTGTGCTGAAGAAGTATATTCCTGCTGAGGGCTGAATCAGCCTCTCAGAAATGACAGCATGCCCCTCAGTATTCCCCAGCACCCACTGGAACAGCTCACAGATGTTTTGTGTAATGAAACGTCTGGGGTCCTCAGGCATTTAGTGTCTCTCCTCTGCTTTCAAGACCAGTTTGATAAGAATAACTTTTCTAGACAATGGAAAGGTTGTTGGAAAGGATGATGCATATTTATGTGCTGTGACTTTTTGTATGGTGGAGACATCAAGACAATGTGGGAGGTTGCAGTCCCCAGCAAGCAAGACAGCAAGAATGTTTGAAGCTTTGAGCTTTTTCTCATCAGCTTTCTCTTTGGCTTACCTTAGGGTTGGGCTTCAACATTGTTGGTGGGACTGATCAGCAGTACATTGCCAATGACAACAGCATCTATGTCAGCTGGATCAAAAAGGATGGGGCAGCTTACCTTGATGGCCGATTACAAGAAGGAGATAAAATTTTAGCGGTAAGCCCTTTCTTCTGTTGTCCCCTGTGTTCTTGATCAGTGATGTGAAGTGAGAGGCAGGTTTTCCATCACAGGGCGTAGAGAAGAAGGATGTGGTGACTGAATCAGATGATCCCAAGCAAACTCCATGGAGGAGTTGTCTTGAGGATCTGGGGAGAGCTCTGAGCACTAGGGAGGTGAGTGCCTCTACACATGGGCTTATCTCTTCTGCCTTCTTGATTTGCCACAGCTCTGTGGTGCTGTGCTTTTGTTTCCTCTGTGACTTGCCTCTTTAAGGTTTTGGAATCCATCAGACCTTCCCTTGCTCACAATGGATTATCATTTATGCACGTGTAAATAAAAGTTTTCCCCCTCTTCAGTTTCCATTTTTGACTGGTAATCAATGATTTCTGATCCTTTTGCACAAGGGGATTTTTAAACTATAAAACTTCTGGGCTATAATATTCTTCTCTTCATTTCAGCTCCTCAAGAATAACATAGGCTGCTTCTCCTTTTAGAAAATCGTTTTCAAGTGTCTGATGTTCACACCCACTGGTTCTTCAGATAGCTGGCAATCATGCAACAAACAAGCTTTACAAAGTGGTGGGTGAAGAAGCAGCCTCTCCTAGTATTATACACAACCTTTTTGTACTCCCTAATTTTATTTTATATATATATATATAAATATATATATTTATTTTAAATGTATATTTTTTTTTTTTTGCTTATTATGTTCCACATGTGATCTTTTTTTAGTGTCTATAGACTACCTTGCACTAATTGGAGCCTATTGGATCCAGAAAGAGATATTAAGTTAAACAGAGAATATTCTCTTCTTCCTTGCACTTGTTTGTTTCCCCAAACACACGTACTTGTGTTTGGGGTGTCTAAATATAGAGAAGGGAAGCACTGGACATGATCTTAGGGGATACAATTTGGGTTAATAGGGGTGAAAATGAAAAATTAGGATGAATTCACTCAGCAAATGAAATCAAGTGGGTTATAAAACCCTGTGCCATGATATATTATTTTAAATTAAGAAAAATTCTAACACTTGCAAGTGGATGCCAATAAGTATGTAAGTAAATTTTTTTTGGTTGGTTTTGCTACATCTGTGTGCTTATAGAAGTGTGTTTACAACACTCTCCCAAATAGAGACGTTTCAAAGGTACACCAGTAGAGGAAACAAGGGAAGAGACTCAAAATAATAATTTTGCTGCAGCTGCTCTTTTATGTTCATTAACTGTCAGAATCACACCTTTGATTTGTTTCCAGTAAAGCAACAGCATTAGAAGCTGCTATTGACACAACTGTGGTCTTTTATTCTTATTTTGCTTCTGGGTAGTTTTTTTCAGTACCTCTATATTTTTGCTTGGAGTTTGTCATGTTCTGTCTCAACATATAAAAATAGATCATAATATTAATTAATTAATTAGGATCTTTATGATTATAGTATCATGCCCCAAATGCAGAATTTTGTGAAACATGAAGATTTTTATGTCTTATCCTTCCTATGTTAGCCTGCATCATTAAAAATTTGTTTTTTACCTTCAGCATCTGGTTCTCCTTTTCTTTTTTTGCTAGATCAATGGCAAAGACTTGAAGGATTTGCGGCACAAGGATGCTGTGGAACTGTTCAGGAATGCAGGCTATTACGTGTCTCTGAAAATTCAGCGCAGGGTATGTTTTGCCTGTTTCTTAGGGTTATTTCTGGCTCTGTTTAGACTGCTTTCTATGACTGGTGGCTATTTCATGATGAAGAGTACTGTGTCCAGGTGCTCAGTGTGATATGTGCATATAGAAATTCTGTTTTATCTATGACCTTCTCTCATTGCCTCAGCTGTAATTGTCTCTATATTACTTCATATTAGTGAAAAGGTGGGTTTGGAGATATCCCCAGGTCTTTGTTTTGCTGGAGTGTGTTGTGTTTGCTCACTGATCTCCATTCTCAGAGGTAAAGGTTTGTGTGTGAAGACAGAATCTCAAGTTGCCCAGTTTTATTTCAGTGGCCAACATCTTATTGGAGACAGAACTCCAGTTCTTCTTTTTTTAAAACTTCTGTTTTAGAGGCCATTACTCATGTTAGTGTTGAAATGTGTGTGCAGCCCAGCAGTACAAGACAGATGTTGAGGTGCTGGAGCGAGTCCAGAGAAGGGGAATAAAACAGGTGAAGGGTCTGCAGCACAAGTCTGAGGAGGAGCAGCTGAGGGAGCTGGGGGTGTTTAGCCTGGAGAAGAGGAAGCTCAAGGGAGACCTTATCACTCTCTACAACCACCTGGAAGGAGGCTGTAGCCAGGTGGGGGCTGGCCTCTTCTCCCAGGCAACAAGTGACAGCAAAAATGGAGACTTCCTCAAGTTGCATAATGTTCAAAATTATTGAAGCGGAAGTTTAGATTGGGTGTTAGGAATTTCTTCATTGAAAAGGTTGTCAAGCAGTGGAACGGGCTGCTGAGGGAAGTGCTTGAGTCACTGTCCCTGAAGATATTTAAAAAATGTGCAGATGTGGCGCTTAGTTTAATGGTAAGCTTGGCAGTGCTGGGTTAGCAGTTGGACTTGGTAATCTAAGAGTTCTTTCCATCATAAATGATTTTACAATAATAGGAAATATGGACTACTGTAGTTTAAATATACTGGCACCATTTTAGATGTTAAAAGAGATGAACCCTTAATCTCCAGCTAGCATGGAAGTTGACAAAAGAAACACTGATCTATCCAAAGCATGTTGGTGGGGAGAGGTGGCTTGAGATTCCTTTTCTACTCCCTTAACTAAGGAATAAGTCTTCTGGACCAGTGTATAAGGCAGATAAGAAAACCAGAGAGAAGTATTGATGTCTTTTTCCTGGTAAAGAGAGCAGGAAATGGTGTGGTGGCAAGTGCATCAAGGGGTTACTGGGTACGTGTGTCATTTCTTCTGCTGTATGAGGTGTGTCCTGTTCCACTTGAGTCCTGGTTTAGAAAGTGGCAGAGAAACATGAGGGTGCCTGGCAGTGACTGTGTACCCTGCATTGAAGTTCAGTCCATTCTAAGCTGTTTTAACCCTCCTGTGTGTGGGGTCTGCAGGTACCTGGGGAAACTATTTTCAACATTGCTACAGAACCGCCTGGTCCAGACATAGAGCTGGGGGTTCTCTTGTTATGGGTTTTACATAAACAATTTTTTTTTCTTGTAGTTGCAGCCACAGAATGGCCCTGTGGGTCATCAAGGAGATGGAGAATCAGGTGGGCTTCCTCTGGCAGCCATTCTTGTGCCAGGCCTGGCGCTTGCTGCGACAGCAGTCTGGATCTTGCTGAGGTATCGACAGCGGATGTGAAGAGTTCGTGTCTGGGATATCACTGCGTACTTTACACAGCTATGATGTAATTTAAAGATAGAGAATCAACGATCTTGTCACAGACTGATGCCAAAAAGGATCATTGCCTATCATCAAAGTTGCTGCTGATGTTCGTATATATTGATTTTTTTGCAGGGCGGATAGAAGCAGAGAGGAAAAAGGGAAGGGAGAGGACTGTGTTTATGTAAAGAGTGGGATAGCTGTAGTTTTTGACAAATCTGAGGAGGTTTTGCCATCCTCCTCTGTTTTGCACCATGAACTTTCAAACACACTCATCTATTCCACATTTTAAGATCTAACTTTTGGTTAAAGGGAGTGGGAGTTGGGATGGTTTTAAATCAGAAACATTTTCTAGAGGCTTTGCCTTGTTTCCACAGAATTTTCTCTGGAATCTAATGAATTCTGTCTGAACCATGAATAAAGAGAAGCAATGCAAAGGGTATATTATTTTTTCCCATTGAAGTTTTGTTGGTTGTTGCTAAATAAATGCCTTAAATGTGGAAAATCTGATTTGTGATTTTGCAGGTAAAATCTTCAGTATAGCTGCTGATTTAACAACAATATGCAGTATTGGTGAGGCATTTTGCCAGTTGTGGAAAGACAGAAGACATCCTGCTGCTAGAACAAGATTTTGATTGTCAAAATGATTGCTCATTTTTGGGTCAGGGTTGAAAGAGAAAGCTTTCCATAAAATGCTAGCATACTGGAGAGAGAAAAGCAGACAACTGAATCACAAGGATAAGTGGTAGCAAGAGATTTGGGCATGCTGAAGCTGCAGACGAGTCTTTAAATTAGTAGTGAAGCAATAGTTCTCCGTTCATCAGTCATTCAACCCACATCAAGTGGGTTGAAGTCTGCATCTCTCAGGTTTGAGGTCTGTTTTGGGGGTTATTTTTTGCACAGGGAATACTTCAGATAGTTTTCTGTAGCAGCTAACTTGCTCTCTGCAGTCAGGAGAATCTTAGGATGATTGAAAGGGAGAAGCTGAGAGCAGGCTGGGATTGTCCTGGCTTTTGCTTGTTTGTGAAGAGTTATATGTTGTTCAGGAGATAGGCTTTACCCTGGCTTAAAGCTAACAGCCTAGCAGGTAAAACCAGAGGGAATAGACCCTCCTCTGGAAAGTATATGGCTGAATTTACCTGCAGGGTCTCATCTCCTCACTGTGATTTGAATAGTTTTAAATGCCCCAGCTGATAGGAGCTCTGTGGGGTAAGACCTGTTTCTCTTGTCTCCAAAAAATCAATGTGTTTTGTTGTTTTTGAAAAGCAAAATGTATGGTCTGGTCTGTATGATGCCAAAGAAGAGATCACATATGCAATATATGTTTTCAAAGAAAAACTGATGTCGTGGTGCTTTACTTATCTCTATTCTCTATTATTGTCGTAGGACACTGCTGATGTATTTGAAATTATGTTTGATCAGGGCTGGGTTCATGCTGTCTGCTGGAGATAGAGGTGGTTATGCTGTTGAACATGGCATTCCTAATCACCTTGGAGTTTCAGAGCACTTGGATCACATGAAATCTTGCTTTGGCCTATGGACTGCTCTATTGTAAGGAGAAGTTGAAACAGGAGGAATTTTGCTCCTATGTTCTATGGGGACTTTGGGAACATTATTGATGTTGACTGGCCTGGGCTAAGGCATGCAGTGACTTGCCTTGGCCTGCAAACCAGTTGTGCCTGATAGCAGAAGGGCTGCTGTGTAGATAGATCTTTGCAGATACATCATGAACCAGCTTGTTTGTCACCTGCTCTGAAGATTTGGCTGTGGAGTCCATGTGCAACACATGTGTGTATTAAGATGGATGATTAGAAATTGCTGCTCTTGTATCACAGCCTTCAGAGTGAAGATGCAGACATCAAGAAAATGGCCTATCTTGTTAGACTTTGCCTGAGTTGAGTTTCTGTGATGAGAAGGAGTATGTGGAACAGGCTAGGAGGATGAGAATCTGTGGAAGGTAATGGTTAGTTTTAGTCATTGCCTGTTGAAGTAAGAAAGTAAAACATTTGGGATTTTTTGTTTATTTAACCTTTCAGCTTTGGGACTTGGATACTGTTCAGACATGGTTGCCATTTATATTGCAGGCAGTTCATTAGGGAGGGGGAGGGTTATATCCGGTGCTCAGATAATTGATGTGGCTTATTAAAAAGGAAAAGGCCCTTCTGGTGCATAGTGTTCTCAATTATTGAACTGCCACTCAGTAGCTTTTTCAGAAATCTGGGTAGTAGTTTCTACTCAGGATTCAAACCATCCAGTCGAAAAGTGAGCTACACCTTTGTGTACCTGCCTGGTACACAATCCCATTTCTAATCCCTAGCCACATTTTGTCCCATTTATTGACAAAACCCAAGGGGAAAATACCTCAGCCCCAACTCTCCTGTGAACTATGGCTCATACTACTTTCAGCAACTGGACTGTCTTACCTAACCTTTCCATGTTTTCCAAAGTATTTTCCACCGTGTATTTTCTGAAGCCTTGAGTTTCATCTTTGCACTAGATGCTGTATATACATTTTCTGTCGTTGTAGAAGAAGCAAATTTTAAAAAATCTAATGAGGACAGCTTGTAAATACAAGTGATCAGAGAGAGTTTTACCTTTTGTTACAACTTAAATCTCTAGTTTTTTTTTAAAAATGTTGAAATCCTGAAGACAAACAAAAAGCATTCTAGTACTTTGTTTGTTTTGTTTAAGAACTCATTTACCGTTAATACTGAGGGCAACTGAAACTCTTAAATGCTCATGTTTCTCTCCTATTCTCATTTATTCCCTCAAATGTATTGTGAACGTGCTGAAAATGGATTTTCGGGTCCATAATTTAAAGACTAGTTTGACTAAGTAAGTCTAGTTTGACTTTCTGTATATTCTAGGCTTTTGTGCCTCAGTCTTCAGAATTTTATGTGCTAGTATTTTACTAGGGCATAACAGTGAGAAAGAGCAGCCAAACTTGATCTGAAGATTGGTAGATGCACTAACTTCTGGCACTTTTTAATTAACACAAACTAGAAAGGAATGTGTGGGAGGGAGAGGTGCCTTTCTTTCAGTTTGCCTTTAGGTTCCAACAACTGGTTTGTTAGGTTATTCAGTGCTGGATTAAAGAGGCCTTTAATAACTGATAGTCCCTCCCTTTGAGGGGATTTATGTGTTGTAATTGCCTTACCTCTCCCATTATTTTTAAGAAATGAAGCCAACTGAGCCCTTTCAGATTCTCTGTGTAGGGTACTTTATCTCTTTTAGTACTTTTTGTGGTTCTGTGTACCCTTTACAGTTTCTGTATTGCTTTGGAAAATCCAGACACTCCAACCACATGGGAGTCCCACTGTTGACCATGCCAATGCTCCATACTAGGAGTTCTTAATACCATCTTTGTCTGCAAACTTTAATTATTTTTTTTAAGATACAGGTAAGTACAGAACACATTTAAGTCAGCTCTCAAGAGCTTGTTTTTTATTAACTAGCTTTTATAAGTCTCTTAGGAGTAGCATACACCTTTGTCCTTCTTCACGTGCTGCCTGAAGTGCCCCAAGGAATCTGTAAAAAAACACCCTTGAGGGGTAACTTCTCCTAGTTAATAGGTCAAAAGAGGGATTCTATTTGGTCATAGTGTGACACTAGAAACAAGTGTTAAGTGCTTGTATATTCCAGCTTCTGAATCCTTGTCCATACCCAATGTGGCCTGCCTGGTGTGGGGGAAGGTGTCTGACTTGGTATTTTGCTGAATGACTGCACCCCCTGTTTGCATTGGCTGTGCACTGACCAGCCAAGATTACTGTCTCTCTCTACAGCCTTGTCTGCTGTATTATTTACCAGCCCACTCTCATTAGCAGTACTGGTTTTGTCTTCTGCTAGATCATCAGCAAAAATAGTGAATGGAGTTTGGTACAGGGGCAACTTCTCCCATGGTTATGAGTATTCAGTAGCTGTGTGCACCTCCTGATTTTTGGATTCTTTGTCTGTTTGTTTAATTTGGATTCTTTGTTTGTCTGATGCATTTTTATAGGGTATGGCATTGATTTTTAAAAAATACATGTATTATTTTTTTCAGCATGTTGCATAGTACTAAGATTGTGTCTGAGTGGTGAGTAAACTTCATCTGTTCTCTTGCTGGCAGAAGCTGATACAAGGGTAAGAATCAGGTGAGCTTTATGAGCCAGTCGTTTTCCCTATCCTCTTTCCTACTTTGTTGATGTGGGCTTTACTTATGGAAATTATTTTTCTCTACTTATGTTGAAGGAAAGAACAGATAACTTATTAATGGGACAGTGTCCCCCAGGCTGGGGGCCCAAAGGTAGGCTTAAACAAAGAATTCTGAAGGAGGGCCTTGACTATACCCTTGTCCTCAGGGTTTGTCTCATGACACTTGAGGCAGACTCATGCTACATCCATGCTGCCATGCGTGGTACATGGCATCTCTTTAGCTCTGCAGAGGTGCAACTGAGGAAGACTTCAGGCCTTTCAAATCTTCCTTCAAGACAGGGCCACATGCTATGAGAACATGCACAATGAAGAGCAGTGTTGAGCAGACTCAAAACAGCTTTCCTTGTCATATTTGACAGCTTTTGTCCTTGCTGGTGCAGCTGTAATTGATCATGGGCAAACTTCACTGCAGAGTGACTGGATACCTGGCTGCCTTGACTAAGGTAAGACCTTAGTCTTACCAACTTCCCTAGGCTGAAACTCTTATTAAGGAAGAGTAAGTGTGATGTTTATACAGGGTAATTATTCAAAGCAGTGTGTGAGTGATGGCAGATTGTTCACCAAGCTGGTATGTTTGTGTCCAAGTCTTCCAGCCATGTTTCCATTTGGTAAAGTTCTCTTTCCTCTCATCTCCCTTTACTGCCTCTCAGCAGCCTAGCATTTGTGCCTGGCTTGCATTTGTTTGCTACGACACAAAAGCAATTGTTACAGAAAAATTGCTTTTTCTCTGTGTCAGCAAGTACTGATACTTGTTAATTCCACTGTGTTCTCTCAGTTGCTTTGAGCAATTGGATTTTGTGTCACTTACTCATTTTCTCTTCCATTTGGAACATGAAGGTTGGCACTTAATTCTCACTGCCCTTGTTCTGTCTGGTTTGTCAAGTGTTGGAGGACAGATCACCAGAACAGGAAGCATGAGCATGTGTGTGAGGCAGGGGAGGCTGTACAGTTAGAGCAGTAAGAGATGCTGGTCAACACTGAACTGAGCCCAAAGAAGCCCTAAGAGCTTTGCTCCATGGATGTGGAGGCTAGAAGGAAATACCTTGCTAAGTATCAATATCTTAAGCAGGGTAGTTTGGTTTCTACAGCAGTAACAGCTGGATTTCAGTTTAGGGAATGCTTCTGAAGACCTGTGTTGATGTCATGACAGCTCACAGTTTCAGGCCTGCCCTTTTTTGTCTTTACCACATGTCTGTCTTACCTTTCCAAGTTCCTGATCATGGTGGTGCTGGGAAAATGATGTTTGCAGCTGTTAGAGCTTGGCAGTTGACATTAGACCTGTATTGCATTTCCTGCTATGGGTTGG